ATAACAGATGGAACACTAGATGTCGTTTTTTAAGGGGTTTTTCACTCAAAACCCCCTAAATCTTGAAAAGACGATATCTAGTGTCATATCTGTTATCTTAATTAATCTATGATCCATCCATTAAAAAATGACGTCAGTCTATTAATTTAACAGTTTGTGCAAAAATGAATATCCTTGTTTTCTATCAGAAAATTAATAACTTGCGGTTTCTCTTAAAAATTGATTTAAGGAATTAGAAAAACGTCGAAATCTCACACAGTCTTACTCAGATAAAATATCATAGGTAAAGTTTTACACGAAGACTCATTGAAATTAGATCGACAATCAAATAACTCCAGACTTACTTTAAAAAATAGATGAAACTACATACAGGGTTAGATCGGTAATTACACTCTTTTCACGACTGGTCACCAAAAAATGTATCGGAAACCCTTTAACTTATATACACCATCTTGGTGCGTAGTCCCCCCCCCCCCATTCCAATCCTAAATTTTAACATAATGGGTTATTTGAATTTAGCATGGCTAGCCGATGAATACTGATGAGGGTATGGTTTGATTATATAAATGACTTTAAAGGTACTGTCGGGGTAAATATAAGTGACCCTCCATTTAAAGAGGGGTATGCCTGACTCAAAATGTACACTTAAAATATGTATAACATCATCGTTCGTTTAGCTTTTAAAGACTTTAATTTCATAATTCTTTCTATTGTTTCTGTAAGCAAGAAATCCGCAAGTCACTTTTATAGAGTAACCACGCGCGGATTTAAGGAGTCCTTTTATCAAACAAAGTTTGAAATTGTGACTACAGTCACTTTGTATAAGCAAATCTTTAAATGTGCATTTAATAGGTATAAATAAAATATGCTGAAACACAAATATGGCAACGAAACTGTGTAACTTTTTAAACCAATAAATTCATAACATTTAAATATTAATTTTTTGAAAACTTTAAAGGGAGTGTTCGCGAAAAAAGGAAGGGGGTTTAGGCTTACGGTCGGTACTAATCTTTCTTCTATCTGTTGCGTCTATAAGGAGAAAATTGTTAAAGACGTCTCTTACCGAAGAACGTAGATTCCTTACAAATTTAGAAAGTTGCAACATACGACTCGGATCGTAACAAAATCAATTTAATTTCAAACAAATCATTCAGATATTACAACTTATAGTCATCGATTATTTTTCGACGCATTCGTATATAGTTAATATTTCATAATATTTTTCACTTTCTATGATCCGAGAGTGACTTTTGAAAACATTCATTCCTGATTCGAGGATTTTGATAATGAAGACGACATTTTCCACATTTTCCGGGAATGCGCCAGTCGAGAAAACAAGTTGTAAGCGAAATATTAATTTTAAAAAACACAAAATAAAAAATATTATGAAATATCAACTTTATACAAATGTGTCAAAAAATAATCGATGACTATAGGATTGAATATCTAAATTATTTGTTTGATATTAATGTGATTTTTTTTCGATCCAATTCCTTAATTTGTATGAACGCTTCGTTCTTCGGTATGAGACGTATTTAACAATTTTCTCCTTATTGACGCAACAGATAGAAGTAAGATTAGTAGCAGGGAGGGGAAGAGGGTTAAGGGTCGGTGAATTGGAAATTACGTGCGTATGATATTGCGTAGTCACGATTTCCTCCTGTTAACGTGTTTTCCTTATCTTTTCGTGTTTCAACATATCTTCTTCATGTTTGATTTGGGGGGGGGGTATGTCTTTGCACCCCCCTCTGACTAATCCGCCATAACGGTTGGCAAGATATAAGAATTAAAATTTTCATTCATTTAAAAAAAAATTCAAATCATTAATCATTATGAATTTAATGAAATTAAGTTTGTTTATCAATCAAACAATCGAAAGTTTTTACTATAAAAATGCCATATTTGATATAGTTTTAATTTATGTTTTTTTCTTCAGGTGATAGCTCGAATATTCTACGTTGTAAACAGATCTTGGAGCGGGAAGATTTCATTGTCTGAGCTCCGACGTTCAAGCTTCCTGCCAACCTTGAGAAGTTTACAAGATGAAGACGACATTAATCAAATCACGGACTACTTTAGCTACGAGCACTTTTACGTGATCTACTGCAAGTTCTGGGAGCTGGATAAAGATCATGATCTATTTATTGATCGGGAAGATCTTGCCAGGCACAATGATCACGGTGAGTTTTCATTGATCATAATTTAATGATCACGGCGAGTTTTCATTGATCATAATGAAATGATCATGATTTGTTTACTTAAATTAATGTTTTATATTCCACTAAAAGAAATCGTTGTGTTTGACCAATTAAACACTATATTTAACTAGTATCGAAAGATGTCAAAGTTCTAATATGACATGTCTCTCTAGCTGGATCTGAACCGTTTGGTTCTGTTTAATATAATAAAACAACTTTTAGAAATGCCTATCCAAATGATAGAATTAAGAACAGTAAGATAAAAATAGCTAAAAAGTTTTTAACTCTGAATATCAAAATTTTATGATCAATTTTTTAAAAGAATTTATATTATTTTGATTTGCCTAGGTCAGAAAAGCCTTTTCACAATAAAACCACATTCTTTTTTGGGGGGGAGGGGGGAATAAAAATACCCTATTTGCAGTACAAAATAAATTATAACAGGCCAAACAAGCGACATACTGCTTTGGTTGGCAGTTTAAAATAAGCATAAAATATAGAACTACATATCAGATTGAACCATGGGTCCAGGGCTGTGTTATAGCTTGCAATTATTTTTATGTTTTTTTATTCTCGCTGTATTGTAGTGCGCATTAGCACGGTAGATACAAGATAACCATTGTCACATTAATACTTCATCTTATACCTTCACATTTATACTGTCATGGATACTTATCTTTACTGCATCTACTGCACATCTATCCAACTCTATTTAAAAGGGACTATAAACGTAATTCAAACTGACCCTCTATTTACCAAAAACATGTTACCCAGCTTGTCCGATTCATTACGGTGCTTAGGATCCATTTAATTTTGATGCGGATCCGGATCCAAATCCGGGTCCTGGATCTGAACTGGAAAAAAATTGATCTGGATCCGGATCCAGGTCATTTCTTTAAGATTTACTGAATTTTTTTAACAAAAAATAATTTTCAAATGTTTTGTTTGTTTTTTCGCTTATTTTTACCCTAAAACTAGATGAACCATTCAGAAATGAGGAAATTTTTATAATCTCTCTTTATTTTCAAAAGTTCATATTTGAGTAAAAAAGTTTTTTTTTTGCAGTTTTTGGTTGAAATTTTACCTCTTGGAGCCGGATCCGTGGATCCGCATATTTTTTGTGGATCCGGATCCAGGTCCTTAAAAGGTTGGTCTGGTTAAGAATTAATTAGTTTTCCCAACTTGAAGCTAGAAAAATAACGATATCTTCCACATTATTGATCAGATAAAGATTTCTAAGGTACCATTCTGAATCGGACATACTCCTCTTTATATGACGGGTTACTTAAAATTACGAGACAGACTCCTTAAATCCATCTAACTATCTATCTAACTTTCTATCTTATAACTATCTAACTTTCTATCATAAATCTATCTAACTATCTATCTTATAACTATCTAACTTTCTATCATAAATCTATCTAACTATCTATCGTATAACTATCTAACTTTCTATCATAAATCTATTTAACTTTCTATCATAAATTTATCTATCTTTTTATCTTATAACTATCTGACTTTTTATCTTAAATCTATCTAACTTTTTATCTTATAACTATCTAACTTTTTATCTTATAACTATCTAACTTTTTATCTTATAACTATCTAACTTTTTATCTTATAACTATCTAACTTTTTATCTTAAATCTATCTAACTTTTTATCTTATAACCATGTAACTTTTTATCATAAATTTATCTAATTTTCTGTCTTAAATCTATCTAACTTTCTATCATAAATCTATCTAACTTTTTATCTTATAACCATGTAACTTTTTATCATAAATTTATCTAATTTTCTGTCTTAAATCTATTTAACTTTCTATCATAAATCTATCTAACTTTCTATCATAAATCTATCTAACTTTTTATCTTATAACTATCTAACTTTTTATCTTATAACCATGTAACTTTTTATCATAAATTTATCTAACTATCTATCTTATAACTATCTAACTTTCTATCATAAATCTATTTAACTTTCTATCATAAATCTATCTAACTTTTTATCTTATAACTATCTAACTTTTTATCATAAATCTATCTAACTTTTTATCTTATAACTATCTAACTTTTTATCTTATAACCATGTAACTTTTTATCATAAATTTATCTAATTTTCTGTCTTAAATTTATCTAACTTTTTATCCTATAACTATAAAACTTTTAACTTACAACCATGTAACTTTTCATCATAAATCAATCTAACTTTCTATCTAAATCTATATAAGTTTCTGTCTTAAATCTGTGTATTTTTTAATCTTAAATCTATTTAACTTTTTTTCCAAAATATATCTAACTTTCCATCTTAGGCATGCCACGTCAATCTAACTAAAATTGCAAGTTAGATTCTCTTTTTGAAGAGCTCTCTATCTTTGCAGCGTGATGATGTAAACCTCTGATTTTTCAAACTTAGACTATTTAAGTTACATAATTGATAGATTGAAATATTAAAGGTCTACGACATTGGGTTGCAAAGATATAGAGATCAGAAAATCAGAGTTTGTGGCAAAAACTTAGTTCCTTTCTATATAATTATATAATTTCTTGAGAAAAGTCTAAACATTCTCTGATAAAGGCTTGAAGAATACCAATGGGAATAGTTAACCGTGAGCAATCCCTTTAGGTCAGTTAAATAAGGACTAGCTATGATTGATTGATTGAAAGATATGGTCCGTTTAGTCATTATTACCTCTTTTGTCCCCCTTGATGAAACAATTTTCAACTATCACGATCAGATATATTGCAATAGTGATATGTAGTATATGTGTACTCTGGTAGAGATCTGTCCTGTGTACTGCGTACTGGTTCAGGTAGATATGTGTACTCTGGTAGAGATCTGTACTGAGTACTGCGTACTGGTTCAGGTAGATATGTGTATTCTGGTAGAGATCTGTACTGTGTACTGCGTACTGGTTCAGGTAGATATGTGTACTCTGGTAGAGATCTGCACTGAGTACTGGTTCAGGTGTATATGTGTATTGTGTACTGTGTACGGGTAGAGATTTGTACTGTGTACTGGTAGAGATGTGTAGTAGTGTGCATTGAGTACTGGTTCAGTTAGAGATATGCGCTATGTACTGGCAGAGATGTGTACTGTGTACTTGCAGAGATGTGTACTGAGTACTGAGTACTAGATAGAGATGGTGAACTATCTACGTACATGAATATATCTATGTACAGGTGTATGAATGTAGATGGAGATGGTTTACTACAGGGTGTCCCACATCATATTAGACCGAGAACGGGTCTAAATTACGATTTTCGGGACTAATTAGAAAATTTCATTAGAATGAATCATTTTGAAAAAAAACATAAGTTTTTCGAGTATTAAGGGTTTATTTTGGTGTTAAAGATTGGAGATAATCTAATATGATATGGGACGCTCTGTATCTTTATACATGAATACAAATATATCTATGTAAGGGTGTGCGGATGTAAATGGAAATGGTGTACTTTATATGTACATGAATATATCTTATACAGGTGCATGGATGTAGATGAAGATGAAGTACTATCTTCGTACATGAATATAAAAATATCTATGTACAGGTGTATGGATGTAGATGGAGATGGTGTACTATCTATGTACATGAATATAAAAATATTTATGTACAGGTGTATGGATGTAGATGGTGTACTATCTTTGTACATGAATAATATCTATGTACAGGTGTATGGATGTAGATGGAGATGGTGTACTATCTATGTACGAGCTAGAATATTTCTATGAAGAACAACTACAAAGAATGGAACAGCTAGGAATTGAAACTCTACCTTTCGATGACTGTTTGTGCCAGGTATAATTTACATTATGTACATTATAATGCGCAATATGTTCATGTCTTTATACAACGAGACCCATTAAGTTGTGGAAAAGGAAGACGACTTTTATTCTCAAGTTATGTTTTAAATAGTCCAAATAGCAGGAAATACAAAAGTTGTGGAGTTGACTAACCATGGCTTTCGATCCCACATTATTTAAATTAAATTAAAAGAAAATAAATACATTTCTGGAATGCTTCAGCTACAAAATATTAAATTTATCGGAAAATAATATTTAAACCCACAAGCTCTAATTTAGCCTGGTGTTCTGGTCTATTTAGATTATACTAGAAGAATGTCTAAATGTACCGTGTAAATGTTAAGTGCTCCAGAACTAATATTTAATGAGGAGAACTACAGGGTGTCCCATTAAACATGACAGATAGTGAATCTTTTAAAATGTCTTCTTCCATAATTTGTTCAGTTGTTTGATACCAAAGAGAATAAGAAAAAATATTGTATGGGAGTCATCTTACAGTAAAATTGATTTCAAAGTAAAATATATTTGAGTAAAAGATTTTTTAGACAAAATAAACTACAAAAAGTCTTTAATATCTAATACAGTAAAAGACATTCAAAACTTTTCACCAACTGTCATGTTTCGTGAGATGTGGTAGAACCACACCTAGAACAGTTTCATGCCATTTTAATCTGAAATGGACTGTCTATGTAATTTCAAATGGCCCTGTTTATAAAGAGCTTCATGTTCTTTTATCCTTTAAATGAACAAAAAAGACAATGTTATTTTTTAATGACTTTTGGACTTGAAGCAGGAAAAGGAAATAAGAAATTCAGAGAATTTAAAATTAAATTTGAAATTACGTTGAGATTTCCTCTAAAAGGAGAGCATTGAAACCTTTTTAACGAATATTAAGTATCATTATCATAGGTTAATAGAGGGGGGGGGGGGGGGGCCCCCCCCCCTCTTTCCAATTTCAGTTAGGTATTATACATATTTATGGTTCATGCCATTGTAAATTAAAAAGTGGGAACATATCCGACGTTGACGAATTAAAATCGACATTTTTAACTCTGTATTTCTTAAATGGTCTGTCCACAGAACAGAGATTAGAATAGAAGGGAAATAAGCAATATTACAGTATGAATATGATCCCTGGATACATTCGTTACAATTTATTCTTTTTATGAAGTTTATGCTGAAATGAACTAGGGAATGTAAAATTAAGCTTATGCTGAAATGAACTCGGGAATGCATGACAGGTTCCCAGAGAATTGATTTAGAGAAAATTCAATAATTTTCAAGAACATTTGTTTCATTAAAAAGATGCACCAGGGTCCAAAAGGTTATGATCACAAATGTGTGAAGTACACCTGCAGTATGCAAACAATATAACAAAATGGCGATTTTACACTTTTTGCGACTTAATTCCACTCTGGTTCTGTATTTTTATCATTAGTATTATTATTAATTAATCTGTGCGACGCTTTAGAGGATGATGTTTCAGCTCTGAGTACGCGCATGATTGACAGAATATTCTCTGGAGCTGTGACTAGGGGGAGTGCGCAGAAGGACGGTAGGATGTCCTACACGGAGTTCGTCTGGTTCCTGCTCTCAGAGGAGGATAAACGACATCCTACTGCCATAGAGTACTGGTTCAGGTAGATATGTGTACTTTGGTAGAGATCTGTACTGTGTACTGCGTACTGGTTCAGGTAAATATGTGTACTCTTGTAGAGATCTGTACTGTGTACTGCGTACTGGTTCAGGTAGATATATGTACTCTGGTAGATATGTATACTGTGTACTGCGTACTGGTTCTGGTAGATATGTGTACTGTGTACTGTGTACTGGTTCAGGTAGATATGTGTACTCTGGTAGAGATCTGTACTGAGTACTGCGTACTGGTTCAGGTAGATATGTGTACTCTGGTAGAGATCTGTACTGACAGATTAAACATTATATCATCTGGTTCAGGGCAGATTAAACATTATATCATCTGGTTCAGGGAAGATTAAACATTATATCATCTGGTTCAGGACAGATTAAAAAAATCTTTTTTATTCCAATAAAGTCAAAAACATAAAGACAAAAATTAGATATAGATGCTTTAGATATATCTAAAGTATGCTGAGATGTATTTAAATCATGCTGAGATGTATCACAAGCATGCTGAGATATATCTAAAGCATTATAAGATATATCTAAAGCATGCTTAGATATATCTAAATCATTCTAAGATATATCTAAAGCATGCTGAGATATATTTAAAGCTAAGATAAATTCTAGCATGCTTTAGATAAATCTCATTATGCTTTAGGTATCCCATCATGCTTTAGGTATCTCCCAGCATGCTTTTGATAGAAAACGCCTGGGTTTTATTGTTTAATATTTGAAATAAGTGTGTGCTTCATGTAGGCGTTTTATGATTATTGTAGCGCAGTAAAAAATAAAACTAATATCACAAATACAAATAAAAAGACAAACCTAGATTTTGGTTAAAATTAATATCTTAAATATTTTTAATTTTTGAAGTAAACCAACGCCTTAAACAATGGGAGGTGACTGATACAAAAAATAAGTTTATCATGACAAAAATTAGTGTCATGTATTTAGACTGTCATGCTTTTATATTAGCATGCATTAAGAACCGTCGGCAATATAAGCATTATATTCAAGCCATGGCTGATTAGTATGCATTCAAAGCTTGAAATTGCTCTTAGATTGTAGAGATACAGTTTAAAGGGACTGTTAGCTTAATTCTAAGTAAATCTCTTGCCCGATCCCAACTAAACCTTTCAAAACTAAATCTGAGTTACGATGAGAAAGATCGCCGTTTTACTATCTTTTAAAAAGTTAAACTCAGTTTCCATCCTTGTCGCTGTTGTATTAATCCGCAATTTATTTGTACAGAAAATAAAAAGTGAAGATTTAACATTTTTAGATAGAAAAACAAGTATATCTCCTTCATTCTATATAGACAATGGTAAATTGAAATGGAGAGTCACTTGCATGTGCAGTGTGCAGTCCCTTTATTTTTAAACATGCTTGAATGCAAAGTGTGATTGGCAAGTAACAAGGCATTTCAGGCAGTATTCGTAATATGCAGGCAGTTGCAGGCCTATATACGGTGATTTCAGGCACTATTCGTAATATGCAGGCAGTTGCAGGCCTATATACGGTGATTTGGCATAATTTCTAATTCAGATAACTTATTCTAATCATTGGAAACTAAAAACTTAAATCTTTAAGAACGTCGTTGTATTATGAATAGATAAGTTTAAGTTATCGTTACAAATGATCAAATTAGAGTGGACGAGGGGGGGGGGGGAAGGGGGTCAAATTAGGGCAATAGTAGAAGGGCGAAGGGTTGGGATCAAATTACTGGGAACATTTCTAATTAGGAAAGATTTAGGAAAGATGTAAATTCTTTGAACATGTTGATATTATGTTAAGATAAAAAATTGTAACCCCAAAATTATGTTAGAATTTAAAAAAAAAATTACTTTATCTGCTTAATGGTGTTATAATCTAAAAAGAAGAAATTAAGTATAAGAATTTAAAAAATTAACTTGAATATTTCTAAAAGATGTTGGATTAAACAAAAATTATTTGCTAATAGATGTTGGATTAAACAAAAATTATTTGCCAAATAATGTTAGAATTTAAAAAACATGCTAAACTTCTAAAGAATTTTAAAAATAATCTTATTTTCTAAATAATGTCAGAATAAAAAAAATAGCTAAACTGCTTAATGGTATAAGCATTAAAAAATAAACTTATTTACTATAAATAATTTTAAAATTAAATAAAAAACTTTTTTGCTGAATAATATGTAAGAATTCAAATTTTAAAACGCCAATTAATACAAATGTAATCTTTCCTCCTAGATTACTTTTATATAACGCACATAGATCCAGACTGCGATGAACATTTGCATTGAGTTTTAAACTTTGAAGTATCACTTCAACTTTTATTTAGCACTGGAAATGTAGATTTTAGAACTTTAAAAATAAAAAAAGTCCTAAGAGTTCAAGTATTATAAAGGAAGAATGAACTTGCAATTTCCAATCTGTGAACAATTATCCAAACCTCTATCATAAAGAAGGAAGGGAGTGCTTCAACCTAGGTTTATTAGTGCACTACTCTCGGCATATAGGGCTGGGCACGTTACGGCACGTTAGAGCTGGACACGTTATATTAAGCAAGGATGGACACGTTACGGTACATTATGGCATGGCACGTAACGGCAAGTTAGAGCTGGGTACGTTATTGCAAGCTAGGGACGGGCCCATAATCTTGCTGTTTTTATCAATTACAAATGAGCAATTAGTTCAGATAATGAATTAAAAGTTTGAAATTGAACAGTTCTGACATTTTGTATTTTCGTTATTGTTACATACATACTATTTATATTGGCTCCTAGCCTAACCTTGAAGAAATAAAAAAATATTAATTTCATTTTGAAAATAGATGAAATCGAAGCAATGCACAAATTTGATATGAAGGGGGGGGGGGGGGCCCCATAAAGCGTTCCATAAAACAGACCTTTTTTCTATTTGCATTTAAAAAGGTTCCGTTTACATTGCACAATGACTGTGCCTCGATCACGTTCATTGGACTATTTAAAGTCATAACTTGAGTTTGAAAGTCGACTCCCTTTTCAAGATTTTTTTGGTTATTACTGTAACACCGCATACATGTCTTCTACGGGTCTTTGTAAACACAAACAATTATTCAGAAGTTAAGAAGACTGGAATTTAAACTATTTAAAAATGGTGTGCTAAACAATCCTATCTTATCTATCTAGGGCGGGCAGAGCAAGGACAACAGATAAATAGATAAATTTAATTCAAATACAGGATGACCCCAAGAAATGAGACTTTACAGACAGCACAGAAAACATATTTTGGAAAATGAAGACGACTGTTAGACTCAAGTTATGATTTTAAACATGATCATGGATAGGAAAAATAATAATTGTGACACACTACACATAACCATTACACTCAATAAGTTGATTTTTAAGCTATAAGACCTAGTAAAATCAATTTGAGTTTTTATAACATCAAAACATATAAGATTGATCACATGTCGTTTTTCTATTTCCCAGTTTACTGGGTCTCACTTACTTAAAACTAACTACAACTACAGTGTACTGGGTCTCTGTTACTTAAATCTAACTACAACTACAGTTTACTGGGTCTCAAACTAACTACAACTACAGTGTACTGGGTCTCTGTTACTTAAATCTAACTACAACTACAGTTTACTGGGTCTCAGTTACTTAAATCTAACTACAACTACAGTTTACTGGGTCTCTGTTACTTAAAACTAACTACAACTACAGTTTACTGGGTCTCTGTTACTTAAAACTAACTACAACTACAGTTTACTGGGTCTTACTTACTTAAAACTAACTACAACTACAGTTTACTGGGTCTCACTTACTTAAAACTAACTACAACTACAGTTTACTTGGTCTCACTTACTTAAAACTAACTACAACGAAGTAGATACATCAACTGTCTGTAGTCAACTATTCATCTCTAATTCAAAATCTGTCGAAATAGACTTTTTACTTTATAGAGACAAACAAAAATGTACAAAATAGCATATACGAAAAGTCTTCATTTAATGGGTGAAAACGTGTTTCAAAGTTAAGGACTTTTAACTTTTAACCAGGACCCCTAATTTACTGAAATATGTATTAGAAATATTTAACCTGGACCCCATAATTTACTGAAATATGTATTAGAAATATTTAACCTGGACCCCATAATTTACTGAAATATGTATTAGAAATATTTAACCTGGACCCCCTAATTTACTGAAATATGTATTAGAAAGATTTAACCAGGACCCCCTAATTTACTGAAATATGTATTAGAAAGATTTAACCAGGACCCCTAATTTACTGAAATATGTATTAGAAATATTTAACCAGGACCCCTAATTTACTGAAATATGTATTAGAAATATTTAACCAGGACCCCTAATTTACTGAAATATGTATTAGAAATATTTAACCAGGACCCCTAATTTACTGAAATATGTATTAGAAATATTTAACCAGGACCCCTAATTTACTGAAATATGTATTAGAAATATTTAACCAGGACCCCTAATTTACTGAAATATGTATTAGAAATATTTAACCAGGACCCCTAATTTACTGAAATATGTATTAGAAATATTTAACCTGCACCCCATAATTTACTGAAATATGTATTAGAAATATTTAACATGGACCCCCTAATTTACTGAAATACGTTTTAGAAATATTTAACCTGGACCCCCTAATTTACTGAAATATCTATTTGAAATATTTAACCTGGATCCCCTAAATTTACTGAAATATCTAGTAGAAATATTTAACGTACTGTGCAAATACTTTTTTTGTTAATTTTTAAATTGTATTTTTGATATTTTGTTTAGATGTTGGATATGATCCGTCCCCTGACGAGCAACCAGATCACCTTGAGGGACTTAAAGAAGTGCAAGATGACACCGATCTTCTTCGATACGTTCTTTAACCTGGAGAAGTATCTGGACCATGAGCAGAGGGACCCCTTCGCTACACAGAGGGAGACAGACGAGGACGGAAACGAGGTACAAATTGTCTCCCCCCTTCTCCTCCCCCAAAAAATATATATATATTACATTGATAACCAGAAAACAGTGGAATGTGTCGTCTGTCTTTTGATGATTAAAAGGAATTGAGTCTTTGCCACAATCTTAAATATTTTTGCAACCTTTGATATTTAATGTAACAGAATTTTTTGTGATCCGCTTGATGCCAATTGTTCCGCCGGTTGGTTGAAGTTGTGATCCGCTTGATGCCAATTGTTCCACAGGTTGATTGAAGTTGTTTGTAACAAACTTTGATGTTTAATCCCTATACCACAGGTTGATTGAAGTTGTTTGTAACAAACTTTGATGTTTAATCCCTATACCTTTGAAAATTCAATGTCGTTGTACCGTTGTACCGTTGTACCGTTGTACTGTTGTACCGTTAACTTCTTCCTCGTCTCGATTCTTCTCTTGCATTTGTTTTGGAATCTGCTTAGCAACACGTTTCTCATTAGGGTCTTCTTCTGATGAACTGCTATAACGGTACAACAGTACAACGGTACAACGGTACAACGGTACAACGACATTGAATTTTCAAAGGTATAGGGATTAAACATCAAAGTTTGTTACAAAGAAATAATTCCATTGCTAAGGGGTTTTCTTTGTAGTTCGAACTAAAATATTTATATCAGAATTAAAAATCCTTACAAAAACCCTTTGCGACATTTTTAATTTGAAAAATAAGGAAGACGACATTCCACAATTTTTAGGCTACTACCGTATCATTAGGTTTCAAAATATCTTTTTTAGATAATAGATTATTAACTATTTTTAATCTTTGATACAAAAATGTGATTTAACCCAAACACTAAACAGTCTTGGGATTTCCAATATTGGCAAAGGTTATTTTTGCTATTGCTCAGATTTTGAGTTCAAGTCAATCTTAGGTCACAGTTTTGAACGCCCCAGAAAATTATATAATTTTTGTAATCAATGCTATAGCCTAATATCAATTTACTAGATTTATTTTATTTATTATAAAACTTTTAGAAACATTACAGAGATGAATCATGCTCCCTAATTTAATGTAGTTTAATGTTTTAGTTGTCAACATTTTCTTGCATTTCCCAGATTTTTCCTTTTCTATTTCACGCCAAAACTTCAGAAATTTTGTCACCAAAAAAATTCAGACACTGAACAATTACACATTTAAAATGTTGCTCCTCCACCTATTTCCTGGTCTGAAACTAAAAACAGAGTGTAAAAAGAATTTCCGTGAATTATTAAGATTTTACACATTTTTGTCCGAATGAACAGGAAAATAATATTTTAAACTGTCACTTTTGACAGCTACGCGTCTGCATGCATAAAATTCTAATTTTCTGGTCATACCTTCTTAATTTCGGAAAACTGAGATAATGCATTGTTTGAATAAAGGAACTGAGTTTTTGTCACAAACTCAAATTGTCTAATCCCTCTTTCTTTACAATCTGATTATGTAGACCTTTGATATTTTAAACTTAGATTATTTAGTCTAACAGAAATCATAGTTTGGTATATCAAAGGTCTACAACATTGGGTAGCAAAGATATAGAAATTAGAAAATCATAGTTTGTGACAAAGTTTGTCCGTGGAAAGACAAATGATAATTATATATAATTGCAGATAAAAGATTTAAAGAAAAACACCAGTTTGTTTGTTTAAAGAACTGGTCACTCGTTTCAAATCATTTTTTTTTATCCATATATGCCTTTGAAATTTTAAAATATTGATTTTGCTAGATCAAATATCAATGTTTAAAATATTATAACAGGTGCAAACCATCAGGTTGCAATTTGCAAAATTACAAGAATTAAAAAATTAAAACTAGGGTTGAGCAATGGGCTTGAATTTTATATCACATTTTTTTATTTTGCGACATATTTAAACAGAATTTAAATTTTTTTTGATTTTCACTCTTTTTAATAATTTTGGATGAAATCTTAACGACGCCTTTTTAGATGTCTGACTGGGATAGGTTTGCGGCGGAGGAATATGAACTCCTGGTGGCGGAGGAAGGAACTAACGAAAACATGGATGACATGTAAGTATCAATATCAAAGAATTAAGTATAAAGATATATATATTTGACAAGACAACAATACATAAAGGGTTGTATCAAAGAATGAAAAAATCCTTAGTAAAAGTATTTAAAATACAGTTTGAAAAAAGTTGTTTAAAGGGACTGTAAAGCTAAAATGAAAGGGGGTATAGGCTGAATCTCAGGCGCTAAAAGATACATATAAAACATTTATCTGATGTTCTTGTCTCGAGAAATGGCAAACTAAAAAAATAAATTATAATTGAAGCAAACCTGAGATTCTCAGGCTCCTGTGGGATATCGTCGTTTTCAGATTGATTGCATATTTAATGAATATGACCTGTTTAATACTACAACTTTTATACAAAATTGCAAATATATATATGAATTTTCGTATAAATTTGACAAAGGTTTATATCAATTACTAGAGACAGGAACATCAGATAGATGTTTATAGGTATCGTTCAACTCCTGAGATTCTCAGGTTTCAGTCTATATCTCCTTTCATTTTTCCTTTACAGTCCCTTTAAAATTATATTTTTTTCAGGCCATACGAGGAAGGACATTTATTAGAGGGTGATGCAGAGGAGACTTTGGAATCCATGAAAACTTAAAATATTCTTCTTTAAAAAAAGCAGACAAAAGTTCCTTGGAATTACTGCAGATCATCGTCAATTGGCTCTTCAGTGTTCAGATATTGGATATCTTAAACAATTGATTTCGATATCCAGTGTGGTCACTTTTTAGTTTGAGGATCGATGCTAAATTCATTCATTTAAGTTTTCTCTGTAGGGTATGACCACCATGTAATATCGAAGAGGAATCAAATTAATCTGAAAGATTATGTGCAAGTTTTGAGATCAATGCTTGGTCCCGAGATCCACAATACAAAAGTTCTCCTTCAGTGTTCATATTGTGACACTTTTGAAAACACTATTTGAGAATTTTCTTGAAAGTCAGAATTATATTAAATAAATATATTAAAAGAATCCTATTCCCCTTTCAGTGATAATTTTTCGGAAACGTAGAACTTGAAAAAACGATTATCTGAAATGCTCATTATGGAAAGTTGATAATCCATTCAGTGAAACGTTGAAAATGAAACCAGTTGTGTAACGATTAAAAGTTATTTCCGTTGGATTTTGACGAATTTTGAGTTCTATCATAATTAAATAGTTCATGGAAAGCTTAATTGCTAATGGAAGTGAATTAAGTGAATTTGATCAAACATATGGCTAACCTCTGTGTTTTTCTAATCAAATTTAATTTATTTAGGAAATTTTAAACTTTAAATATTATTGATTTTTGAGTTGATTTGCTTTTGTAATATTGGTGCTATACACTTTATAGATTTTAACCCCTTCAGGGGTCTGTTGTTAAATGTGACATTATAAATAGTTATATACTTAATATTCATTCGTTCATACATTCTGATAAATAAATACTAATCCTATTAGACATTAAGCGATATATTTGTATTTTAATTTTGCGTTGAGAAAGACGACATTCAAATCAAGCTTTGTAAAAATCCCTTTCAAGCACTTTCTTCGAAGGTTTAAAGGGTGTTAAAAGATGGGCGAATAAAGGGTTAACCAAATATAAGACCCACAGAATAGGAACGCCCATTTTTATCTACAGGGTGTCCCAAAAAACATGGGAATTCAGTGACGAATTCGATATCGTCTTTGTTATGAATTAACACTGTATGATACCTAATTTCAAAACCCATATTATGTCTGCTAGAGTTTATTTTATGAAAAGGGTAAAAGACTGTAAAGATGTGTCTATAATGTCTCCGCAAGATGAACAGTGAAGACGGACAAGTTTACACTGTTTGTATACCGCAATTTTCTTGTTTTACTAAGTACAACCGTATGCAGTCAAAACATAAACAAATCAAAATGTGAACATAGCACACGAAACTCTTACAGATTACAGCTTTCTCAGTAGGTATCACTATACTAATTCAAAGAATTATGTAAAAAGACGATCGAATTAGTCACTGAATTCCCATGTTTATTGGGACACCCTGTAGTAATATACAGTGAGAACCAGAAAACAATAGAATAGAAAGCTAGGTCATTCTAGCAATTCCAAAGTGTATTTAATATTGTTACAAAGCAAATAGTTCTACTAGTAAGTAGTAACTTCAATCACTTATTAAATTAAATGGGTCAATATACACAGCACAAATGCTGTGGTCCATGTTCATTAGATTATTTAATAACTTGAATCTAAAAGTCGTCTTACTATTCTAGAGTTCTCTGGTTCTCATTGTATATCTCTTAGTTCACATTACTAATAATTGTTATTAATTTAAAAGAATGTTGAATGATCATGATAATCAAAAACTTTATGGGTAACCCTGCACTACGGATTAAACTGGAATTGTTTCTTATGCATTAAATTAAATTGTTTAACCAACAAAAATTAATAAGATAAAAACTTAGATTTTAAGATTATTGTTTCTAAAACTTTTAAAACAAAATTAAAACAAGAAAACAAATTATTTTTCAGTTTGGAAAATAAAAAAAAATTGAGGGACTATATTCCTCAGTATCTTAAAAAAATCATAATTTTGACTTTTTTTTACGACTCTTTTTTATAAATATTTGTTAAAATGTGTCTCAAACAACGTAGTAAATTTTAAATTAGAGAATTAAGTACTATACTTTTATGTGATTTTTTTCTAAAATAATCTCATTGTATTTCCCTTAAGAAAAAGTTTTTACAAAGAAGAAACATATATATTTATTTTAAATTATTTTAAAAGCAAAACATAGTTTAAGCAGCAAAAATTAAATCACAAACTCATGCTATTAAATCACAAAATATATTAACTTCTCTTCTAACATTATTCAGAATCAAACTCTTTGAGAACAAGTTCTTTCATTTTACTGAAAGTAAGATCAGATCCTGGTTGAAACCCCAGCAGATCTTTATCCTTTATGTAATCAAACTGTCCCCAATGGATGGTGTCCTCAGTGGCATACTCGTAACACTGCAATGTTGCACAAAAGTCATCTGATTCATTATTTAATTCATGACTTTGGTACCAATGTTCATTCATCCATGTGTACTTTCCCTGGCTTGCCTTGAACTCCATGAGTTTAACTGGAGGTAATGGTGGATTTGTCATCTTATTGTATATTCTACACTGTATTGACCCATGCAGTACTTTAACAATAGCACAACATGCTCCATGGTTATGTATTGGGCTTGTAGCCCCTGCAGGCCATATCTCAAGAACAAAGGGACAACCAGGAGATAATCCCATTTCTTCTCCAATTGTTATTCTTAGATATTTCTTCTTCTTCAGAATATTGTGAAGTATACATCCCTCTGTAACAATACTATTGCGGATAGCATTGATAAGAGATGGATTAAGTTCCAGATTTTTGATTGTATTAAAGATCCTGGCACAGGTGGGTGGAAGCTGGGAGGAGAGCATATAACCTCCAGAATCAAGATCATCCAGTGTAGCTATATCTGCATCTAATATAAAAGGAGAAGGATTGACAGTTAATGGTTCCTTGCAAACTTTGATCAATGGTTCTTTACTTATAATCCCAGCACAAGCTCCAGTCTGATCATTTGATTTCATGTATAGAAGTATAAGACCCTCACAACTGTTCTGATCATCAATAGCAAACAAACTGCTAAGATCTCCTTCTTTGTCAGATTGAGGTAATGCAAAGGTGATCATAGTAGTTTGGTTCATGGGATATCCTTTTCCATAGGATATAGTCATTCTTTCTCTATCATAGGACAACCAGTAGGTCTGTTGAACTCCGACATCAATTCCCATTGAAGTATCATTTCCAGATTTCTTGATAAAATCATCTATTTTTACCTTCTTTCCACCAACTTTTACAGAAAACCTTGCATCTGCTTGATTCACATGAAGAGCCAAGTATGAAGTATTATTTCTGTAATCTTGATCATATTTAGCATTGATCTGATCTGGAACCACTAGAAGAGTAAAGGGGGAAGCAAAGCATGATGTTACACTGATTGTACCCTTGAGACGGGCTTTAAACTTCTCTTTAATAACAGTTCTATCAGTGTTCCTCCTGGATCTCACGGTATAAAATATAATTGCTAGAGGTATGGTTGATAACATGATAATTATGTTAGGGTCAAACATCTTGATTGTGAATATCTGGAAGCTAGGATCAAGTATTTGATCTGTTAATTTACTCTGGTAAAACCAAACTGAATAAATCTATCCTTGCTCTCTAAATTTATACAGGCAGATATTTCAACATGTCGACACTATATACTTGCTTATATACCTATCATGTCGACATTTACAAAACAGGCTGTCGACATCGAATCTACAATCTATAACCCTTACCCCAGCTTTATATGCAGACATTTATTGCAACATGTTGAGTGTTGACAATAAGCTGTTTTTTGAAACTGCTTCATTCAAAGGTTTTGACATTCCACTTTTAAGTGGACCATGTATATTGATTCACATGTGCACCCTTTAAACCTTTATCTCAGTAACAATGAGGAAGATATCTTTCTTGACTTAATTGTTTGTGCAGTGAAGTATGCATAACTAAAGTATAAGATGGAAGAGTAAAAGATAAAGGATGAAGTATGGATCATGAAGAGTAAAAGATAAAGGATGAAGTATGGATCAAGAAGAGTAAAAGATATAGGATGAAGAATGGATCATGAAGAGTAAAAGATATAGGATGAAGTATGGATAATGAAGAGTAAAAGATATAGGATGAAGTATGGATCATGAAGAGTAAAAGATAGATGAAGAATGGATCATGAAGAGTAAAAGATATAGGATGAAGTATGGATAATGAAGAGTAAAAGATATAGGATGAAGTATGGATCATGAAGAGTAAAAGATAAAGGATGAATTGTATATATCATGAAGAGTAAAAGATAAAGGATGAATTGTATATATCATGAAAAGTAAAAGTATGGATCATGAAAAGTAAGTTTATGCTGATGTATGTTTTCATTAAAGGATTTTAGGATACAAGGAAACACTCTCATTCATTATAAAAACTACACAAATAGACGACAGAATAATGTAAAGATACATAAAAAACTATTTGAACGGGACAAACTAACTTGTGCATCGCGTCCCCAAAAACTAGTTTTTTTTGGCCGTAGCCATAATAAGTTTCAAAATATAAAAAAACTCCAGAAGGTGGTTTACAGTGGATCTAATATTGCTTTGTATTTTCTAAAAACCAGACATTAAAGTGATGAGCCGGTACAGCTGGTTCATTTAGGTTGGTTTATAAGAAATCTAAATTGAGTGGGGATGTGGATAGAAAAATTGGTAGATAACTAGGGATATAAAATGGTTCCAACCCCTGCCCCCCCCCCTTTTCTCCCTTGGTCCCCCTGATCCCCTTGTCCACCTGGTCACCCCCAGATCTCCGCCAGGTCCCCTCCTGATCCGCCCTTGTTCCCCCTATTCCTACATCCGCTATCCCGGTCTACTATTGAGGGCCGGGAAGATGGGGGGTAGGGGAGAGGTTACCAGGACAAAAAACCGTCTTGAGAAAAGCACTTAAAGGGACTGTAAGCGTAATTTTTATTTTGAGGGAAATATGTGGGGGGGGGGGGTGGCTTGACATATACAGGACAAAACGCTTATTGCAATACTCAGTGAAAAGGTTTGTGGTCATTAACAGAAAGTAGTCAACATAGAGTTTTTTGTTTGTGAAAAATGTTGATAATTTACCAAACACAAAATGTATTATTGCCGTTCCTTTCTTTTTTTCCTCTCTATTTTTCATATACCTTTTCCTTCATTTACTCCTTTTCCTCTCTCTTTTTCATCAAATCTTCCTCATTCTCACTCATAAAAAGATTCAAAGAGTATCGTTGTGAATCGGACGTAACAACTCGATTTTTAAATAATAGTAACTGAAAATTACTTGGGCTGCCTCTTTACAATTGTTTTCAAAATATCTTTTCATAATTCTGTCGACCAGTAACGTAGTTGAATAATGTGGTATTTCACTCAACCCTGAAATCTGTTATTTACTCTTTATTTCAACCATCAGTGAAATTATAAAACCAAAACTCATTAGAATAAACTTATTCTTCATTATTCATACTTCATCCTTCATCCTTTACTCTTCCATCTTCATCCTTTATCCTTTACTCTTCCATCTTCATTCTTTATCCTTTACTCTTCCATTTTCATCCTTCATCCTTTACTCTTCCATTTTCATCCTTTATCCTTTACTCTTCCATTTTCATCCTTTATCCTTTACTCTTCCGTCTTTCACCTTTATCCTTTACTCTTCCATCTGCATTCCTTATCCCTTAATCTTCCATCTTATCTTTTATCCTTAACTCTTCCGTTATCCACCTTTATCCTTTACTCTTCTCTCTTCATTCTTTATCTATTTAATATTCATCATTTTATCATTTACTCTCTGATATTCATCCTTTAGCCTTTACTCTTCCATCTTCATCCTATATCCTTTACTCTTCCATCTTCATCCTTTATCCATACTCTTCCATCTTCATCCTTTATCCTTTACTCTTCCATCTTCATCCTTTATCCTTTACTCTTTATGTATTTAAACTGCAGAATCAATTAAGGAAAATGTCAGTTATTACTTTTGTTAGTAAAGATATTGTTAATCAGAACAGGTATGTTTAGAGGGTCAATTGAAAGTAAGCATATACAATCCCTTTATAGAAGATTCTAATATAGTTTAATTCTATTTGCAATTATGTTATCTATACTTTACTTTTATCAACAATTAATTTTGTGCACATTTTAAAATGAATTAGTGAAACATTTTATTTAATATTTTTGACAATTTCTTTATTTAGAAACAGTGCAAATATTACAATGTAGAATGTAAAAAGATTTCTGCAAATGTTGAAATAATGGGCATCTTAATGTCGACGCTCGGTCTGTTGCAATATCTGCAAATAAAAAGCTAAAAAGGAGTAGATTCAATGTCGACAGCCTGTTCTGTAAATGTCGACATGATAGGTACATTTAAAAGCAGTTTCGACATGTTGAAATATCTGCCTGTATTAAGCTGTAGAGCAGGGGTAGCTTTAACCAGTTTAGTTTCACCAAAAAAATGCGAAATTTCGCGAAAAAGTTTGCGAAATGCGACCGAAAATTTTCGCGAAACGTTTCGTTCGCTAGAAACCCTACTTTCATGGCGCTCGTTTTTAGCTGTTTATTGGATACAAACAAACCAACAAACAGACAGACAAGCAAAGTATATACACAAACATGAGAATGGTCATTAAAAAATAACTTAAAACATATGATTTTAAATTTCTATGTAACTTTAAGTTCGATCAAAAAACTCTATGAATTTGCAATTAAACTGTTTTCAAAATCCTGGATTCACTATCATAGACAAAATAAATGTCCTCACTCCAATCATTTTATTTTTCTTATTCGTTCTTCTTTTGAATTTCAACTTTGACTACGTTTTTCTTGTCAAAAATATTTTCTGGGGTTTTCTTGCGAATTTGGATACGTGATGTAAATGGCAATATAACATCTTTAAATCCCACCCCAATAATATATTTCTTTTCCTCTAGTATTTATAAAGTGTCCTATCCATGTTTCGACTGCAATCACATCAAACTAAACTAGATTGCATTAACTAGATTGAAGTCTTATATGTTTTTGATTTTATGATATGCGATTGGATAAAGAAATTAAGTCCCCAAACTCAAATTTCTAATCACTATATCTTTGCAACCTGATTGTGTAAACATGTGTTATATCCAACTTAAAATATTTGAACTAAGAGGAATGCAAAGTTTGAAAGATCTAAGGCTACAACATTGGGTTGCGAATACATAGAAATTAGTAATAAGGATATGATTTTTGTGCAATTCGATAAATCTTAAAAAACCTTATATTTAAAATTCACAAACTAAAAACAGAAAAATCTGCAAAATCATATACTAATAATGTTCAAAGATTTAGAATGTGAACAGATTTCTGTATACTGTATTTTGTCCAACACATACGTAGTTCTAGAAATGAGTCATCATGAAATTTCACTCAACCCTGAAATCTTTTATTCAATTTGTTGATATCGGATAACTCTTGTTATCGGATATCTGTTGATAAAGGATATCTGTTGATATCGGATATGAATATATTTTTTATGCGATGTGAGTTAAAAATTAATTTATTAATTAAAGTAAATCATAATTTTTTTTGATTACTTATGCAGACAATATGAATCACTTGTACTCTTAGGAAGTACTTAAGATCACTATTAAATATTTCTATTATTAGTGAAATTATAAAACCCCAAAAAAATACACTAAAAGTTTATTAAAAATATATGTTTTTTTTTTAACAAATATTTAATTAAATAATCTTTATATAACTTTGTCTTGTCTGGGTGACTGCTTGTTTGTTGGTTTCCAATAAACGTTCTCAATGTTATTTAGAAACCGGTTTAATAGATACCGAATTGTGCATGTCAAGATATTAAGTGTGTTTAAAGTTGTGTTAATATGAATCTTAATATTTCAGACAACCCTGAAATCCTGCAAAAATATCAAAATATCAAATGCCAAATGATCAAATGCCTAATTATGGAGTACAAACGCAGTACGTTTCAATTAGGTCTGCAAGCTAGAAATGTAAACAAATCAGAGAAAAATCATAACTACGGATCGTGCTGCATTGTTCATATCAAAACCAGTTAAATGTCAACAACAAAGAGGAGACGATAAGAGAGAAGAGAAGAGAAGAAAAGAAAAGATAAGAAAAAGGAGAAGAAAATTAAAAGAAAAGAGAAGAGAAGAAAATAGAGGAGAAATTTAGAAAATAGAAGAAAAGAGAAAGAAGAAAAGAAAAGATAAGAAAAAGGAGAAGAAAATTAAAAGAAAAGAGAAGAGAAGAAAATAGAGGAGAAATTTAGAAAATAGAAGAAAAGAGAAAGAAGAAAAGAAAAGATAAGATAAAATAGAAGAAAATAGAAGAGAAGAGAAAGAAGAAAAAATAGATTGCGTGAAAGAATACCTTAAACTTTGAAATGAACTTTATTGTAAAATTGTATGATATTTTTGAAGAAAATTATAGTGGTCTTAACTGTTTAGCGTACATTTTTTGATCATTTAAAGATTTTTGATCATTTGGCTTGTGATATTCTGATATTTTTGCGAAATCCTTTATCCACAATTCAAAAAGATAGAATAAAGAAATAATAAACATTTTATTTTAATTAATTTGTTAAAACAAAGTAATTCAATATAACCTTATTATATTTATTGGGACACCAAGTGACGAGATTTCTTCCACCTTTGCTGACTATTTCTACAATTAATATCCCCTGACTGTATTTTTGATTAATTATTTATATCATTGCATATAATCCATAGAATTCAATAGTAACAGTAATTTATAAAACTAATAAATGTCATTCCAGAAAATTGAAGTAGATACAATTTACAATGGATCTTTTTTTTGTCAATAAACATTCTTGCTATTTATTTGCAACCGAATTGTGTAAACTATTGATATCTAAAATTTAACCTTTTAATACCTTGCAGAATTAATAGTTTGAATAAATCAACGGTTTGCAGTTGCAAGATTAGCATTTGCTAAAAGTGATAATGTAGTTCCTCTGTCCAGATTCTAATTTATTACAAAGCAAAATATACAGAGATTAGAAAATTCTAATTTGTTAAAAGTGATAATGTAGTTCCTCTGTCCAGATTCTAATTTATTACAAAGCAAAATATACAGAGATTAGAAAATTATAATTTGCTAAAAGTGATAATGTAGTTCCTCTGTCCAGATTCTAATTTATTACAAAGCAAAATATACAGAGATTAGAAAATTATAATTTGTTAAAAGTGATAATGTAGTTCCTCTGTCCAGATTCTAATTTATTGCACAGCAAAATATACAGAGATTAGAAGATTAGAATTTGTTAAAAGTGATAATGTAGTTCCTTTGTCCAGATTCTAATTTATTACATAGCAAAATATACAGAGATTAGAAAATTAGAATTTGTTAAAAGTGATAATGTAGTTCCTCTGTCCAGATTCTAATTTATTGCATAGCAAAATGAGGCATGTTTTTATTTATTTAAAGATAATAGAAATGTGCTCAGAATTCAATTAATTTTAAAGAAATGATATTATTTGATTTTTTAAAAATCTCTGAAGTAACCATAATCTACAACAACCTGATGTTGTAGACAGTTCATAATTGTGATTTAAACCTAAGAAGGCTGTGTCAAAAATGAGAGTGCGAGTAATTATTGTTTCTCCAAATTACAATATTATAATCCATATTATTAAATCCATATTAAGCGGTTTTAAATCCCGAAACTAGTTATTCCATTTAATCGCTAAATATCTTGTTTAAAAAAAAGTTTGCTTCTAGGTGAATGGTCCTTTAATATACAGTCATAACCAGAAAGACCCGGGATTAAGTGACAGTTATTCAGACGATTTTACATATATATCTGATAACTTTAAACGCACGATAAAGGAATTGGCCAGCCTAGGGCTATTTTGGTAAAATAGTTTCATTAATCATTTATATATAAATTTAGCTTGTCTGTTTGTCTGTCTGTTTGTATCCAATAAACGTCAAAACGGCTGAACCGATCGGGCCCAAATTTTTTGTGGGACATCTAGGGACTCCAGGGAAGGTTTATGAATCATCAAAATTTTAAATATTTGTCTCCATAAAAATTCGATCGTCATTAAATTTTTTAAAATTTTGAAAATCCTCGAAATTTTTTGTGAAAATCCGCGAATTATTTTTGTTTTGTTTTACGATGTACACAAAGAGAACATGTTCACAACTAATTTAGAAGATGGGCGCGAAGCGCCCTCTAAGGCTAGTATTTGTAAAATTAGATAGTAAAGTCGTCTGATTATTAGTAAATTTATCCCTATACTTTTTCAACCTGATGATGCAAATCTTTGAAGGTTTATAATTCATAGTTTGAAATATCTAAGGTCTAAGACATTTAGTTGCAGAGATAAGGAGAGGAAAGTCAGCGTTTGTGACTTTGACTCAATATCCTTAACATTGAATTATTGTTTATATTATTCTTAAAAGATTGATACAATGTTTTAGGTTGCGTGACATTATTATGTCAAGCTCTATTTATAGAACTGAAGCTTTTTGGAATAAATGTCGTCTCAGACTAAACAAATTCTGAAATATCTTCTGAATCCGAAAATTTATTCATATATTCATTTTTCAATGCTTTTATTTTCTAATATGATCATTGAACTGTATATAAACATTTAGTAGTGATGTTCATAAACAAAAATTAATATCAAGATATTTTTTGGTAATACTAAACACAGAAGAGATATAAAAACACAAAGCTGGCTCCAGGATGGCATCTAGAAAGAGAAAATTAAACTGAAAAAAAAATTTTATTTCAGGAGTTTGTCTTTCAGAAGTTTGTATTTCAGGAGTTTGTCTTTCAGGAGTTTGTATTTTTGGAGTTGGTATTTTAGTGGTTTGTACCTCATGGCCTTGTATTTCAGGAGTAATTCTATTTAGGAGTTTGTATTTCAGGAGTTAGATTTTTAGGAGTTTGTCTTTTAGGAGTTGTCTTTCAGGAGTTTGTCTTTCAGGAGTTTGTCTTTCAGGAGTTTTTATTTCAGGAGTTTTTATTTCAGGAGTTTGTCTTTTAGGAGTTGGTATTTTAGTGGTTTGTACCTCATGGGCTTGTATTTTAGGACTTTCTATTTTATGAGTTTGTATTTCAGGATTTAGATTTTTAGGAGTTTGTCATTTTAGGAGTTTGTCTTTTAGGAGTTTGTATTTCAGGAGTTTGTATTTCAGGAGTTTGTCTTTTAGGAGTTGGTATTTTAGTGGATTGTACCTCATGGGCTTGTATTTCAGAAGTAATTCTATTTTAGGAGTTTGTTTTTCAGGAGTTTTTATTTAAGAAGTTTGTCTATTAGGATTTAGTAATTCAAGGGTTTGTATTTGAGAAGTTTCTATTTTAGGAGTTTGTCTTTCAGAGGATTTGTTATTTAGCAGTTTGGTTTTCAAAAGTTTGGTTACTAGGAGTTTGTATTTCGGGAGCTTGGATTTCAGGAATTTGGTGTTTAGGAGTTTGTCTTTCAGGAGTTTGTCTTTTAAGAGTTTGTCATTTTGGAGTTAATCCTTTAGCAGTTTGTATTTCAGGAGTTTGTAATTCAGAAGTTTGGAAATGAACAAATTGATTTTTTCAAAATATTTCCAATCGACCCCTTCCCCTCATTCAAGATTTGGGACTAAGCCCTTTAAATAGTTTAAAGGTTTTCTTATGACACTCTGGTATTGAAGAAAGGGTAGGTTTAAAGGTTTGCCTTTGAAACTCTGGTATTGTGGTATTGTGGGAGGGGGAGGGGTATTTTTAAAGGTTTAACTATGAAACTATGGTATTGAAGTAGGGGTAGGTTTAAAGGTTTAACTATGAAACTATGGTATTGAAGTAGGGGTAGGTTTAAAGGTTTACCTATGAAACTCTGGTATTGTGGGTGGGGGTGTGGTAGGTGCAGGGGTAGTGCTAACACAGCTAGGAGGGTTCCAGGTTATATTTGTAAAGTCTCCTATAAAGATTAATTAAATGAATTAAAAATATACTTTTTAAACGTTATTTCAAATAAACCTCTATTTTATGTGGCATCCTCCTTTCCGATTTACAATAGTAACCTTTAATCCACTGTCTTTGTAACAATGGGATAGTTGCTATCTTACAAAGTGTTGAATTTTGACGTTTTTTAATTCTGTAATTCCGAATTTTAATTGGAAACCAAAATTGAAAAAATGTTAGCGTTAGATCATACAAAGGTTTAAAGTCACTGCAATCTAGAGAGGAAAAAGAAGTTAACATCTATTCTACATCACTGGTATGACTTTGTGACCTCGTATCTCCTCTAGTTTTGATTTAACGCACAAGTATGCCAGAGAGTAGATTTATTCTGTTACATTATATGTCAACAATTCAAAACATGTTTAGTTTTCTTGATAACACTTCAATGCTAGGGGTTATGATTTAAAACATATAAGACATCAATCTTATACTTAATCTACTTTAGTTTGACGTGAAGGGTACCATTGAGCATCGAACATGCGTCATTATAAATGATAAGTGTTTCTTTGTTAAGTCTAAAGTCCCTTTTATTGCATTCCGCGTTAATTTACAAAAAGATGAGATTCAAATTTGAAAAGATTTTGATGAAAATTTAAATTTTGCGGCGAAGACAAATTTTCATTAGACATCAAGAATAAGATTGAATCAATTTTTCATCTTTCAGAAGCGTATTCAAATGAAAATTCTAAATCAAAGTTTTTAATTTTAAATTTACATATTAAAACAAATCAAAATGACTTAAATGGTGATTTATGTAGAAACTAATTGTTTAGAATGGTTTTCATTATATTTCAAGAAATAAATTGACTTCAAAAATATGAAAAAGTATATTCAACTTGTTAACCCTAAACAGGATGGACCCCTCTAGTATTTTTAAACTTTCACCTTCAATTTTTTTACTTAAACAATTTAAAGGATTTTTCAATTTGTTTTCATTGCATAAAGTAGGGTACAGGAAGGTAAAAAGGCCGGTCAGTGTAAACCCCCCAACCATTTTGATAACTACTAGGATATTGATTACCACCTTTTTGAAAACTACTAGGGTATTGATTACCACCTTCTTGATAACTACTAGGTTATTGATTACCACCTTTTTGATAACTACTAGGTTATTGATTACAACTTCTTTAATCCAGAAGGATATTGATTACCACTTTTTTGAGATTACATTTCGGATATTTAACAATCTAAGCTACAATATAAAAACTACAATTTTAAAAAGCCCTTGTCAAATGGATGAAAAATTGTGACATATCTTGATATTAGTCAAAAATTTTTAAACATTTTTCCGACTTTTTATATTTTTTCTAACCTCCTTAGCATCCAGAAGTTAACGGTCTAATTTTTTTTGATTATCTGGCCTTTACCGAACCCTTTTTCTAGGGGACCCAGGCTATAAAGATATTCAGAGAATACTATCAGAAATACTGATCACGGTTGCATCATGATGTCGTAGCTACCTTAGACATTTCAAGTTGTAAATTCTGTTATAAGTTTTGCAAAGGTTTAGGGGATATAGCAACAATTTTCCAAGTTACAACTTCCCAAAGGTTAGGTTAGGCCTTGCAATGGGGGAACAAGTGCTGCGGCTAGGATGAGCTAGGAGACCGAGCGCTACGGTTATAATTTGCCAGGGGCCGAGCGAAAAATGTCTTTGGGAAAATACCTAACACCTTATGACCTTTCCTATCTGTCATCATAGCAAGGTATATAGTATAGTATGATTCTACCCTGTCTTTGATCCTACTCTATCTATGATCCTTCCCTATATATGATTCTTCCCTATCTATGATCCTACCCTATCCTTTCTATGATCCTACGCTACACTGTTAGAAATGCCATTTTGTAAATTTTCAATATGATTATATTTCAGGCCAATATAACCAGTATATAGAAGACATTCATTGATATATCGTTTAAAATTTGATGTTTTCTGGTCAGA